TCAGGGGTTTATCAGGGGTTTAGCGCCGCCTTCAGCTCAGGGTGTGATCCTGGAGATCTGGAATCGAGTCCCACATCAGGCTCCCTGCATGGAGCTTGCTTCTCCCTCTGCCTGTTGTGTCTGTGTCTCTGCCTCTCTCTCTCTCTCTCTGTCTCTCATGAATAAATAAAATCTTTAAAAAAAGATTTTATTTATCTATTTGAGAGAAAAGACAGAGAGAGCACAAGCAGGGAGGGGAGCAGAAGGGGAAGCAGATTCTGAGCTGAGCAGGGAACCTGATGTAGGGCTACTACATCCCAGGACCCTGGGATCATGACCTAAGCCAAAGGCAGATGCTCAACCAACTGAGCCACCCAGGCTCCAGTACAAGCCTCTTTGAAAGCTAAGCATGACAGAAGAGGGGGGTGGGCGCAGGGGTGCACAGTCAAGAGAGGCAGCTACAAGGCACACTCAACTGCAGACATTATCAGCCAAACCACAAAGAATTACTGTGTGGCATCTGGCATGTCTCCCCCTCTCCCAAATTTGTAGTTCTGTACAGGAGAGGCCTAATGGGTCCCTCATTACCTCCTGTATGCAGGCTTCCTACTGGGCATTAACCTTCCAGAGTACAAAGCCAGGCTCTGAAAATCTTCCTTATAATTATCACGACCCCTGGAGAATCATGTTTTAGCACTCTGATAGTATGATGGTCCTAAAAATTTCATTATCCTACTTGGCTAATCAATGTGACTTTTCTTTCCACTTAAAGGAACCAAGTTTCCAATAAATGTGCTTTTGGGTTTTGCCATAGAGTCAGTGTTTAAATTGGAAAGGAAATCAGAATATCAGAACAGTGGGCCTGATACCTTTCTTGGTGGCATGTTCTCATAAAAAGTTACCCAATCACCTCCATTAAAAAAAAAAAAAAACTACATAGTTAAAATCAACATGGAACAAGCCCCAGAAAAACGTGAATCATGGAATGAAATTACAGGACCGGATTTTTTTATTTCTTGAGAATTAAAGAGATTTAGGTCATTTCAGCACAGATGACAGGGCAGTAAGTTGGGGGGAGGGGTAGGTTCCTGAGGAACAGATGCTTTTTATTAACATTTACATCTCTCTCCTCCCCACCACTTTTTAAGACTTTCTATCAAGAATGCAAAACAGGACAGCGGTGTGCTGCTCCCTAGTGCAGGCTCCCCTTGGCAGCAGCAAATCACCTGACCCACTTGAGCTCCCGGTAAGAGCTAGACAGAGGACAGCACAGGAAACATCGTAACTGGAAATCCACTGACCAGCAGCATCGCCAGCACTGTGTCTACTGGCAAGAAGTGACAAATTGTCAGATCTCATCTTACCAAAACATAGGGAGGGTGGAGAGAAATCCTCTTCCTGCCATTCTAAGGGTCCTGCAAGAATCCCAATGGCCTCCCAGATGCCTTCCCTGACTACCCCCAGCCAGCCAAAGCTTCCCCTTTTCCTGAATTCGTCCCCATACTTCCAGTCTTCCACACAATCCACTAATTGACTTTAGCCTACATTTTATGACTACTTAGTTTCGGCCTGGTGGGTCTTCCCTCTCCAGCTGAGCGCCAGTCCTCCCGAGGGCAGGGTGGTAAATTTCCACTTTTCCTCACCCTTCCTGCCACAAGCTTCAGTCCTGGTGCTGTCTTGGTCCAATACCTGTGGTTTCAGGCATCTCCCTTCCTGGTGCACAGGGGCAAACTTCTGCAGACCATGCCCTTCAAGGAAGGAACTGTATCTCACTCATCCTAGCTCTGTAACAAAAACATTATGGAAACTCAAGGCACATTAATTGAACATTAAGTTAGATGAGAAAAAGATTTCCAACTTCCAGTTAATGATCCACCTATCTCGAGGAATACAGAATTCAGCAAGAGATTCCCACCTGATCGTTGGGAGTTGTGAGAAACCGACAGTTACCTACATTTAGGACATCTTACTACCTGCCAGCCTCAGCCCAGTGTCTACACATGGAGACAAAAAATTTCAGCCAAAAAAATTTTACTGCTTGATGATAAAAACCTTACCTTTCCTTCACAGCGGGGTCAGTTCCCCACCCCCCACTTGTCTAGAAGACTGTTGTGCAGAATGCAGACAGTCGGTAAAGGCTCCTTAAAATGAGAATGTCGTTTTGTAGTTTTTAGTCAGTTATGAATGATACTACACGAGCACACAGCTTGCTTACATTTTTCCTTTCTGCTGAAAATTACATTTTCTTCTGTGACCTCTGGCTCCCCTGGACCCAAAGCCTCTTGCTATGAGGGCATCTACCCCCACTCACCTCTCTTTACTGCCCTCCTGCGCACAGGCATCTGGCCTTTCCCTCTGGCCGCATGCCTTCTGCTCAGAACAAGCCTAAGCATCACCTCCACAATTAGGCCTCCACTGCCTCTCTCTGGTCATCTTCCAGATCCACAGGCTTCACTTCCTTCTTTCTCACTCAGTAACTCTCTTCCCAGTTTCTGTCCATATGTGAAGTCAATATTATGACTCTCCCCTCTCCCACCCACCCCCAAATAATAGTTCTTCCCCTACAAACGCTTGTAGAAAAGCACACAAGGGGTCCTAACTCTATGGAATCAGCACAGAGGGCCTTGGTCATAAGACGTATCCTCTATCAAGTTAATAATTCTTAAATTATTATTTCCTTGACCACGGCAAGGAAACTCAGCTATTGCATAATACTTGATAGTTCAGATCACTTGCTGTTTGGAGAGTCCTGCTATATGAGGATGAAAAAATAGAGATGGGCAAATTTCACGCAATTTCCTTTGTTTGCTTGAGCCAGCCCAGACTTGCAACACCACAGTGACAGTTTTATCTTTCTTCAAGTACAGCTTTAACATCACAGAGAAGGACTTTAAGGGAGTGATAAATCATTCCCATCCTCAGTTCATTAGCATATCTATTCCGACAATACCCCAGAAAGGCCTTTCTCCGCTTTGCACAGTGAAAAAATAAAGGGATTCTAGCCAGGGTGTTTACAGAATCAAAAATCCCAAACAGGGGAAGACAGCAAGAGGCAGATCAGATGTTTCTCTTAAATGAAGGACTTTCTTGAAGGCATGAAGAAGGGTAGAAATATTTTGAGGGTATTAACAGAAACCACTGACCACTGCTACTGCCTGTTTCCAGTGGAATGTCTTTACACCCTTCTCAGTGAGGCCATCTTATTAATTCCAAAATGTATGAATAGAATCCAAGGAAAAGAACTGGTCTTCTTTCCCCTTGCAGAAAAATTCACATGAATGTCCTTAAAAAAAAAAAAAAAAAAGCTGAAATTCTCCCTGCCAGTGCTCTCTGCTTTCCTGGCTTCTGCATTGTGACAGCTGGAACTGATGGCGTCTGGGTGAGACACCTTAACATCTTAAACCTCATGCGTGATAGGGACGGATTTTAACTAGTGATGCTGGAATCCCGGGTCTGTCAGGGTGTCTGTCACGAGCATCTATCTACTCACAAGGATTTCCAATCTTATATATTTTCCAGTTTCCATACCGATAAAGCTCATTTTGCTGGGCCGAAGAATTTTTTCATCTTTAGACTAACGCTAAATACATACCCATACAGTCACAACAGGGTAAAAAGGCAAATTTCCCCCTTTCAGTTGAAAATCGAACGGCTCGTGCACTATTTTGCCAGACATCCTTACACATGATGCAGTCTTTTTAACAGGCCATTTTCAAAGATGGGAAAGACACGCGAAGATTTTAGCACCAACTGACGGTCCGCCTGGTCGTTTCCTTAAATGAGGGTTCTATAGATCTATAGAAGGTTACAGAATACGTTTCCAAAAGCTTCACTAGTGTGTACTGACGGCAAATGCTACCCAAAAAAAAAAAAAAAAAAAAAAAAATTATGGCTCCTCCTTAGTTGTATGCTGTGAATGTAAATTAAGAAGCAGTAGGTAACGCTCCTCGATACAGCCTTTATGACTCCACAAAAATAAATGCACACACTCACTCACTCACACACACACACACACACACACGCTGTATCTCCGTCTGAAAGCTGATTCAGAGCTTAATAGGAAAAACGTGAAATAAAACTGCTTCCCTCAACGGCCCATTATCTGAAGGGTCCTTAAATTTCAAAGCACGTCCGCGGCCGGCCGTTCATCCATTTCCATTCTGTTGCTATGTTTTCAGATTAAGGGCAAGGAATGTTCCACACAGAATCCTCTCCACAGGTCCCGATATTAAATCGCTGTCCCCAAGTGGGGTGACAGGGTGAAAACGTGGCAAAGCGTGTACGTGAAGCGAGAGAGAGCCTGGCGCCTCGAGATGAAATCTTAAATACCGTGGCAGGGATCGTTTTCATTTTCTGCACCTCTGGGAGCCCGGCCTGACCTCTGCTATTAATCAAAGGTGGAATGTGTGCGTTTTGCCCCAAACTGGAGCCCAGTACCCGCCTGCCTTCGAGGCCACTGCAGCTCCCCGGTTATGAATCAGTCAGAGGCTCATCTGCAGAGGAATGACTCAGTATAAACTTTTAAATAATGCCTCAAAAAAACAACAAAAAAAACAAAAAACAAAAAAAAACCCACCGGCCGCCAGCCGGGGGGGGGGGGGCAGGTCGGCGGTCGCAGCCCCCCCGAGCCGGGCGCCCCTCCCGCCGCCGCACACACACGGCCCCGCGGCGGACGCCGGCTCTCCCCACCCCGCGGGGCTCGCGCTTTCCAGAGGCCTCGGCACCCCGTTTCCTGAAAAGCTGCGGGCACCCCGGCCCGCGGGCCCCAGGCCCGGCCTCGAGGACAAAGTTTTCCGAAGTTGAGGCGCTCGGGGGGCGGGCGGGCCCGGGCGGGGCGGGGCGAGGCGGCGCCGCACCGGGCACTCGCCGCCGGGCGCCAGGCCTGCTCCGCCCCGGCCCCGCTCCGGCCCCGGGCCCGCCGCCGCCGCCGCCGCCGCCGCCGCCGCCGCGGGCGCGGGAAGGAGCCGCCGGGGATGCAGCCGCCCGCCCGCCGCCCGCCGCCCAACACCTCAGCCCCTTACCCCGCGGTCCGCCCCGCTCGGCCGGCTCAGGGGCTCCGGGCGCGTCCTCCGCCGCGGTCCGCAGCGTCCTGCTCCCCGGGCAGCCCCATGTCGGGGGGCGGGGAAGGGCCGGCGGCCGCCGCCGCCGCCGGCTGGAAAGTCCCTGCTGGGCTGCAACCCCGGCTCGCGCACGCGGCGGCCGCGCCGCGCCGCGCTCCCTCGCGCCCTCACGCACCCTCTCGCAGCACTTCCTCTCGCGCGCTGGAAATCCCCGCCGGCCGCCGGAGCGCGCCCCGGCGCGCGCCCGCCCCGCCCCCGCCGCCCGCGCGCGCGCGTGGGAGCGCAGGACCCGGCGAGCGCGGCCGGCCCCACGCGCACGCGCGCCCCCGCGCTGCCCCCTCCCCTGCACGCGCGCACGCGCACGCGCGCACACACGCACGCGGCCCGTTGCTAAGGCCCAGCCCGCCCCGCGCCCGCCCGCCGGCCTTAGCAACGGCGCGGCGGCGCGAGCCCGGCCGGCCCCCGCCGCCCCTCGCGCCCGCCGTCCGCCCCCTCGCTCTGCGCGGCTCGCGCGCCCCCGCCGTCCTCCGTCCTCCCCCCCCTTTCCGGGTTAAAAAAAAAAAAAAAAGCCACGCAGCCGCGTGTGGGCCCCAAAGGTGCAGGTTCGGCGGCGGCCGGGAGCGATGGCGTCACCCGGTTCACCCGCGCAGCCACGCTCACTCCCGCAGGCGGCACCCTGGACACACGCTCGCTTGCACCCGCGCACCCGCGCACTTGCCCCTCACACTCACGCTCACACGCCCCCGGGCACAGACACCCTCAAGCCCTCGCACCACACGCACACTCACACCCGCCGCAGCACACGCGCGCTCACACACACGTCCCTCTCACACACGCGCGCAGGTGGGTGGGGCTGAAGGTGACTCAAGCCATCTGGGCCTCTGCGCCCCGGTATGGAGAGCGGGATGTCGGCGCAGTTGTTTGCCTGGAGTTTCCTCTCCTTCCTCCCGGGGCTCCTCCCACGCCCAGGAAGCTGCGCCCGGGCCTGGGGACCCGGTGGCCAGGGTGCCACCAGTGCCCCACGCTCGCACCTGGCGCGGGCGCCCGGGCCGCGGGGTCCAGGGCCCGCGCAGCCTCGACGCGGTGCACCCAGGCCTGTGCGGGACGGGGCGCGGGGGGGGGGCTCCAGAGCCGGCCCCCGCCCCGGGGTCGCCCTGGCCCTCTTAGGTCGCACGCACCCCGCCTGGCCGGGCCTCTCCCTGGGAGGCCAACTCTAGCACGTTTACGAGTCAACACGGAGGCAACGGAAGGGGCTCTCCGTGCCTCTCCTCCCGTGGGGGCTCACGAAGATCCCCGACCAGAGCGGACACCAGTGTGACCAGCGCCGGCCAGTCTCCCTCCTTATATTTCTCCCATGACTCATGAGAGTCGAGGCAGGAAGTCCAGCATCTCCGGCAGCCTCCCCGCGGAGCGTTCCGGAGCCCTGGACGGTCGCCGCGGCCCGACAGGTGTATTCTGCAGCCCCAGCACAGAGGGGCCGGGTACCCCCATTCGGGTTGCAGTGGCGCCCCCGCTGGGGCCACGGAAGGGCACAGCACCTTGAGTTCAGACCAGAGGACCCGACATGGCTGCCGTCCCCCACCCCGACCAACTCTGTCAAGGTGACAGGCCTGCGGCGGCCAGCCCTTGCACACAGACCCCTGGGCTCTGTGCTGAGCCGAGGTCCCCGGGTGGGCTCCCCTGTCCTCGTGCTGGTTCCCCTCCAGAGCCCTGGGTGTCCTTTCCTGCCTGTTAGAGTTGCAGTGACCCCAGCCCGAAAGGGTCAGGCCCTGGCTGCTTCCCGTGCCCCAGACTGCAGGGCCCCTGCTTGTGGGCCCACCTCCTCCCTGGTCCCCAGATCCGCCCGGACCACCGTCCTGGGACGCCGTGGGCCAGGTGCTCATGCACCTGTTAGGGGAACCTTAGGCCCGTGAATAGGGTCTCATGAGGCCTCTCCCTGAATATGATGATCAGGCCCTCAAGTGGCACCCATGCAGAGACCTTGCCCCGACGGCCCCATGGAGGTCTTACTTGGGCCCCACGCTACATGACAAGGGCTCTTTTTAAGACTTTGCCAAAATAGGACTGCCAAAAATTCTCCAGACTGGGCTATTTTTGTTCTTTTAAAATAAGGAAGGAGGTAGAAGTTTCAGAGATCCATCAGAGGGGTTTTCTGGGAACTCCTTTTACTCTCTACCGAAGCCCTATGGAGCCACCTGGAGAATGAATAGATTCAGGTACGGCCCCGGGTGGAGCCCTCTGCTGGTGAGACCTGCTCCTTGTCCTCGTCCCCTTCCACCTCTCCTTTATCTTCTCCAACTGTCCGAGCAGTTCTGCATCCCCTGCTTTTAGGGACGACAGGGGGACCACACAAATAATTTTTGCCCCAAACAGGGCAACCGCTGTAGGGGGGCGGGTCCTCTGTCCCCTGCAGTTCCAGCCGCGGGGCAGCAGTGATGGGCGGCAAGGAGGGCCAATCACAGCTCTCCTCCGCGTCTCAGAGGCAGCCCTCTCTGTTCCCTATGGCAACGTGGAACAACAAGCTGACACCATTTCTGGACAAAGAAATTTCTCACAGGGATTTATGTAGCATTACATGTTCTGTTTGCTCTATTGCTGGGAGAAGTGCACACAGATATTAGAGCCACGGCTCAGAAGCCAATGGAGTTTGTTTTCCAGAGACGGGGAAAAAGAATCCATGGTATAGTGTTAGGGGACTTTAAGGGTCTCATGAGGCCTCTCCCTGAATATGATGATCAGGCCCTCAAGTGGCACCCATGCAAAGATTTGCCCCCACCACCCCATGGAGGTCTAACTTGGGCTGCAGTACCCTGGCAGCTTCTCCCACTGAACATATTAAATGTCACCTCAGGAGGGACCAGAACACACAGCAAAATAAAAACAGTTATACTGTCCACACAAGTGGCTTCCAAACTTTGAATTTGACAGCACAACCCAGTTGTGTATCATGTATGTGTGCATACACACGCACACATATGACAACACTTAACCTCAAACATGTGACGTACTCTATTTTCTATCCCATTCTATTTTTTTTTAAGATTTTTATTTTACAGAGAGACAGGGAGAAAAAGCAAGCATAAGCAGGAGGAGTGGGAGAGGGAGAAGCAGACTCTGCTGAGCAGGAAATGTGACATGGGGTTCAATTCCAGGACCCCGAAATTATGAGCTGAGCCAAAGGCAGACGCTTCACTGACTGAGCCTCCCAGGCACCCCACATTTCTATTTTTTAAATACTGTTGGTACCCTCTCCATTCACTGTTGGTTTGTAACCTGAAGTTTGAAACGGCCTTCCACTGAAAGAAAGGCCAAGGATGGTGGATGGGGGCATGCCCCAGGTTTGGGGTGGTCAGTATGGGAAGCCCCCTGCCTCCTCCTGCTCCACGGTCAGCGTGCATCGCAGTGGCCGAGCTGGGGGGCCGATGCTACCAGCCCCTCTTCCCTTCAAGTGGACCGTGGCTAAGGGCAGAGGTGCCCCAGAGAAGATGCAGGCTGCCTGTGCCCCTCTCTGGTCAGGGACAGCAGGAAGCAAACACAAGGGAAATGGGGCCTGGGGAGGGACAGGGTGGCTGAGGTCTACAAACCTAGCCAGGATTCTTGTGCAAGTAATAGGAGCAGGGAAGGTGGGAGATTTGGGGAACTGGCCACATAAAGCTTTAATTTTCTCTCATTTCTGTGGGCTGCTCAGGGACACGAAGGCACTTTGGGAAGACCCATTCTGGGACTTGCACGTGTGTGTGCACACGCACTATCTCTGGCACATTTTCTCCGTCCTTCTGGAGAATCTGAGCATGGGATAAAGTCACACCAAGCAAAAAGGGGTATTTTTCTGCAAACCTTGTGGGAGACAAGGAAGAGGATTTGCATTAAGAACTACACAGCAGGGGATCCCTGGGTGGCTCAGCGGTTTAGCACCTGCCTTTGGTCCAGGGCACGATCCTGGAGTCCCAGGATCGAGTCCCACGTTGGGCCCCTGGCATGGAGCCTGCTTCTCCCTCTGCCTGTGTCTCTGCCTCTCTCTCTCTCTCTCTCTCTCTCATAAATAAATAAATAAATCTTTAAAAAAAAAAAAAGAACTACACAGCAGGGACACCTGGGTGGCTCAGTTGGTTGGGCATCTGCCTTTGGCTCAGGCTGTGATCCCAGGGTCCTGGGATCAAGCCCCGCATTGGGCTCCCTGCTCAGTGGGGAGCCTGCTTCTCCCTCTCCCTCTGCCTGCCACTCCCCCTGTTTGTGCTCTCTCTATATATATCAAATAAATAAAATCTTAAAAAAAAAAAAAACTACACAGCAAACTCACGAAACCTGCTGTGAAAATCTGGGTGCCTGCCTTTGAATCCTATGCAGAAGCTTCGCCTCCTCTGGGTGATCACTGACCTTCTCCCTCAACCTGCAGGTTCATCACAGCCCCTGTCCTCCCCACCTTCCCCCAGGAATTCAGCTCCAGCCTCAGGTGGCACGCTCCACTTCGTGAACAAGCCAGTGGCTGGTAGAGTCCTACTGCCAGCTCATCCTAGCCCAGCAGACTCCTAGGCAGTAGGGGTCTGCTCCTCCCTGCTAATTAGAAATCAAGAGGGAGAAGGTTATTGGGTCCAAATTAAGCCTTGGATTAATGAGATAAAACGTTTGAAAAATACAAGAATCATTCTAATTCATCAAAACTGCAATGTGACATTTCACTATGAGTAAAGGCAAATGTGGTGCCCTTCCCCATCTCTCAAGGCTGGTGGTGATGAGCCTGAAATGTCATATGATGTCAGATCAAAGCCACTTTTCCCACTGTCCCCTTGCTCATTAGTGCATTCAGTCAAGACCTGCTTGTTGTCAAGACCTGCCAGCTCTCTTCCAGCATGGAACCAATTAAATGCTTGCCCTTTTGGAGCTTACCTTCTAGCAGGTGAAAAAAAATAAATTGCAAGTGAGTTTATAACAAAAACTCTGAAGCAAGCCAGAGCGGAGAAGAGAGAGGCCTGGGGTGAATGGCCAGGGAAGGCGGTAGGGAAGGTGTCAGATAAGGTATCACTTGCATGTAGACCTAAAAGAAAAGAGGAGGGTACTATGTGGCTATCAGTGGGAAAAGCGCCCAGGAAGAGGGAACAGCATGGGCAAAGGCCCTGAGGTCAACAAGCACTCGGGAGGCCAGGATGGCTGAAGCCAAGGAGCAGGACAGAGTCACAGAGGATGAAGGTGAGGGTGGGGATTAGGGCTCAGGG